GTGTACTTACACAGTCATAGACCTTCTGGAAATATCTGGTCATTTCCCAATGTATCTGTGACTGACTTTTTGAACAGAAAATACAAACTGAAGGAAAACTGTGTGCAAAGAGTTTGAAGTCCTAGACTTTCTATTGGTAAACTAAAAGGAAGGAATATGCTCTTGAATAAGGAATCCTCACTCAATTTTTAATTTGCAAACACACAGAAAAGGAAAGGATCGAAATAGTTTTGATTAAAATCAAATTAATATGTAAGGTAGAGACTTGTCATGAGAATGGTCCATTAATATATGACTTTGTCATCCATCCTGTAAGGAAATTCCACGGGGCTCTGATAAATGTAGACAGAGTAAACTAAGTAATGAATGAATGAATACTGAAGAAGCCCCATATTGTATGGATATAATAAAATCCAAAAAAATCTAATCTTAGGTATAAGTTAACCTACTGTTCAATGATATCTTGTTATATCATTTAGTAAGATCATTTTATTATAATTCTAAGTGAGAAATGTAGTCAATACAATTAGTGGTTTGAATATTAAAAATTAAAATTTACTGATTTTTTTTAACTAATTACTATCAATTTTAATAGTTTTGAAATGGAATAAAAACTTAAACACAATTGCATCTCAATCTGTTTAGAGAACCTTAGGTTTTTATATTTTCTTTTTAAAAATTTTTTTATTGAGACATTGATTTTACATATTTACAGGGCACAGAGTTATATTTCAATACATATATACAACGTGTAATGATCTATTCAGGGTAAATAGCATATTTACCTCTGCAAAACTTAATCACTTCTTGATTTTTATATTTTCTTCCAGTCTCTTACATTTGTCTCACCCACATCTGATTCCATAGTACAATTATCTGAGTAATTTTATCATGATATCTTTCTACATCACTTGCATAGTTTTCATAAAAATAGCAATTAGCCCTCTTTACACTTAAATTTGATCAACTTGCAAATAACTTATACAATATTGATAGAAAGTACAACAGGGATAAATTTGGGAATCAACTCAACTGACTCTTGGCAGCTCTGCAACTCACTACGGTGGGAGCAGAAGTTCCCAGGTGTACTAGGGAATGCTTGTTAGGTTACGGGCAGCCACCAATATATTTTACAAAGGAAACAGGGAATGTCTATTAATCTGGTGACATAATAAAGTGGAATTGTTTAAAAGAGTTTTTATTATAGATGAAATATATCTACCCTAAGTAAATTGGTAAAAACTATAAGTTGTACTATTATTCAGACTTTCTGCATGACTCAATTATCTAGCTGGAGTTGGATCAAAAGTTGCATCTGGGGCCGGCCCGGTGGCGCACTGCTACAGTGCGCCGCTTGGGAGCACGGCGGCGCTCCTGCCGAGGGTTCGGATCCCACATACAGAACGGTTCCCGCTCACTGGCTGAGCGAGGTGCGGGCGCAGCACCGAGGGTTGCGATCCCGTTGCCGGTCCCAGTCCGGTACAGGCGCGACACTGAGGGTTGCGATCCATTGCTGGACACAAGAAAAGACAAAAAGGAAAAAATAAATAAATAAATAACGTTGCATCTAAGAATGTAAAATAAAATTCTCTATTACTGGATGGTTAGAAGGTCTCAGTGCTACCCCAGCAAATTCCCCATGTTCCATCGAATGTTCGTTCACCTAGAAGCCCTTTCTCAAACTCCACTGCCATAGGGCCCTGCTGCACCCAGTATCACATGACTTGCTCACGTGCCCCAGGTACTGGGTTATCAGCTATGTGCGCCTGATAAAATGTCTGTGATCTTTGATCAACCTTGAAGGCCATTTTCTCCTGTAAAAGTATTGGTTTCAGTACAAAAGTGTGTTAGTCAAATAAGATTTGTTTGTTGTCGACAAACAAGAGATACATCGCCATGCTCTTAAGGCAACCCAAGTGTACTTACACAGTCATAGACCTTCTGGAAATATCTGGTCATTTCCCAATGTATCTGTGACTGACTTTTTGAACAGAAAATACAAACTGAAGGAAAACTGTGTGCAAAGAGTTTGAAGTCCTAGACTTTCTATTGGTAAACTAAAAGGAAGGAATATGCTCTTGAATAAGGAATCCTCACTCAATTTTTAATTTGCAAACACACAGAAAAGGAAAGGATCGAAATAGTTTTGATTAAAATCAAATTAATATGTAAGGTAGAGACTTGTCATGAGAATGGTCCATTAATATATGACTTTGTCATCCATCCTGTAAGGAAATTCCACGGGGCTCTGATAAATGTAGACAGAGTAAACTAAGTAATGAATGAATGAATACTGAAGAAGCCCCATATTGTATGGATATAATAAAATCCAAAAAAATCTAATCTTAGGTATAAGTTAACCTACTGTTCAATGATATCTTGTTATATCATTTAGTAAGATCATTTTATTATAATTCTAAGTGAGAAATGTAGTCAATACAATTAGTGGTTTGAATATTAAAAATTAAAATTTACTGATTTTTTTTAAAGTCTTTACATTGCTTATTTGAAAAAAATGTTTAAAATAGCTGCTGGAAGAATTAAAACACCAACACCATTTGTCACTTGAGTTTAAGAGGAGGAACAAAGAGGAGATCCTCTGCTGCAGTGGTGTTAGCATTTTGGGACTCACCTACCTACAGAGCCCCCCAAATATCCTTTATAATATCACAATTAGAAACTTGAAATTACTTTTGTCTCTTCTTGATAAAATTACCTTCTCACTATGTGTGCAACGTTAAGTCTGGCGAAGTAATAAATGGATATCTATTCAATCAAAGACATTACACATTTTTTCATATTTAAAAAAAATGAACTGGAGTTTTAAGTTCATAGTGTCAACTTTTAAACTAAATTTCAAAATCGGGCACTAAATTTTTTATTCAGAAAGGGTTTGTTTTGTTTTTGACCTCATACCTCTCTTGAACTTCAAAAATAATTGAATCGCTATTGTGTTATACGCATCAATATGGCAGTCAGGGCAGGATATTCTTAAATTGTTAAAACAGAGTTAGTAGTGGTACCTATCTTGATGACTTATTGTGAAAATTTAATGGGTTAGTTCATGTGGCACTCTCAGAACAGAAATTGGCACCAATAAACTTTGTGTAAGTGCTGGCTATCATGACACCCTGTGCGCCCCACCGCCACCCACCTCCGCTCCATCGGAGCCACCACCTTCTCCAGCCTGGATCGCTGCGGGAACTTCCCCGGGGCTTCAGCCTCCACGTCTGTCCTCCGCCCCATCACTTCCCACCAGGGCAGCCTCAGGGATCCCTGATCAAGTCATTCCTCTGCTCAGGACCCTGCACCGGCCCCTACCTCACCCGGAGTGAAGCCCTGACCGTGGCCCGCTCCCTCTCTGTCCCCGTCGCCTACCGATGGCTCTTCTCCCCCAGCTCCAGCCACGTGGGGCTCCTGCTGCTCCTGGAACGCGCGCAGCAGGCACAGCCCCGCGCCTGGGCTTCTGCACTCGCTGTTCCGTCTGCCCAGAGCGCTTGTCCCCTAGTGTCTGCGCGGCTCCCCTCCCCTCTTCCTTCAGGCCATCTGTCACCTTCTCCATGAGGCCTTCCGCGGCTCCCCTCCCCTCTTCCTTCAGGCCATCTGTCACCTTCTCCATGAGGCCTTCCCTGACCACCCCGCATAAAATCGCAATCCAACCCCCGCCCCCAGCGCTGCCTCTCCCTCCGCCCTGATTTGTGCGTCTCCGCAGCTCTCCGCACCCTCTACCGTACTTGCTTCGTGCTGTGTTAGCTGCCTGCCCGCCTCTGCTGGAAGGTGTTCGCCACAGGAGCAGGTGTCCCTGCTTATATCCTCAGCACAAAGGACAGTATCAGGCACATGGTGGGCCTATAATGAACATTTGTTGAATGGATGAATGCTGCATGTCTACACACACTACTAACACTTTTTTAACATATGAGTTTTCTGAAATAAAAAAATATTTCTTTATTAATCTTTTTATTTTAATTTTTTTTCTTCTACATCTTCCACTCTTCCTCAGGCATTATCTGTTGTGTTTACTTGTTCTTATGTTTCTTTTAGTTCAGTCTTCATTTCTAAACTGATTTATTTTGCTTTTATTTCTAATTCTTTCCTAAATTCAGTCACTTCATTCCTGTATTTTTCTAGTTCTGATTTTATGTTTTTCATGTCTTGTATTGTTTTTAGCCCATTTTGAAACAATAGGTTACAGTTTTTATCTGGGTTGTGGGTACACCTTTCCAGAGTGTTTTCATTGTCTCTGTAGATGTCATTCTGCTCCTTTTTATTTTTATAATAACTTTGCATGCAAATTTCCCTCAATACTATTATAATACTCATGTTATGTAAAATTCGTATTCCTGGACTTTCAGGAAAGTTCAGGAAGCTTTTCTGACTGCACAAAGCTTTGTGCAGTCAGAAAAGATTCCTGTTTGTGGTTTTTGTGTAGGGTCCCGGGATTTCCTTCCTTCCCCACCTTGGTCTAGACCTTCTCTTTCCGCTGCCTTTGCTGTCCAACTCCACTCCCAGCATTTCTCCTCAGTGTTGGGGTCCCTGTCCTAGGAGGAGCCCCGCTGGCCAGTTGTGAGAGGTCGTGCAGTGTAAAGCCCTTTTTTGACTTGTATATTCCTAGCATTCCATTTGATGTTGAGTCTGACAAAAAGACATGAAGAAAAATTGGTTTGATGTCTGTGAGGATCATCTGCTTTGGATGGTAAAGAATTGACACACTGTGGAAGGCACTCTCAATAAAGCACATTCCTGCATTTTTGAAATGGAGCGGGTCATTCATCCTTCACACACAGTGTAGGGAAACGAATGCAAGATAACTTGAGTGTTCACTCTGTTAGTGACAAATACGGATATTTTGACTGAAGGGAGCAAGTCAAAGCTGTCAATAGAAATGAAGAAAATTATTTCTCAGAAGATGAGAAAACCATGGGAGAGACGAGCTGGATGTCAGCCTGGCAGGGGTTGATTAGGCCTGTAGAGACAACTGAGTCACCACTCGGAGGTCCTGCAGCTGCATGAGCTCGCCTGCATCTCCACGTGAACAATCCAAGGCCCCTAAAGCCACCAGTTATTGGAAGGAGTAGGCTCAACAGAGAAACAACCACATTTGTCAGATTGTAGCAGGTGTTGCCCTGGATACTTCTACATAAATCATCTCAGTGGTTCCCCAGCAGTCTAGTGAGATGTGCTATTAGTCTCACTTTTACAGAGGAAGAAACTAAGGCATGGACACAAGTCCAAGCCACACCGCTAGAAAGTGTCATAATCATAATGGAGCCCGGAGCTTCTGACTCTCAATCCAATTCTGTTTCCATTTCACCCAAGCAGATTCCCATCCATCCTGCCCCCAAAACAAGAAAAGGTTTCATTATATCCACTATATTCTGCTTACATGGGTGGAGAAGTGTGATCGTGCCTTTACAAAAGAATTTTATTAGATAAGTTTCCTACTCTCTAGCACCGACACAGGTGAGCCTCAACTCTCACAAGTGTCAACTGTTTAGAGGACTCATTCCCTGCCTCTTCAACCTTGGTTTTTCTTTAAGTTGGCAAATAAACAGGAGGGAGGTTTTTTGGATCACCCATGTTATAACATGAGCTGAGTTCAGCTTAGGTTGGTTGATGATTACTTCCTAGAGATAAGGGAGGAACCCCACACTGAGCAGGGGAAAGACCAATGTGATGAAAGTATCGTGCCATGTCTTGAAATTCAGTTTACCTGGAGTATTTTTCAGTCCTAAAAATCTAGGTTTCATGAGTGATAGGATAAGAAAATTCTACAAACAGAACTTTTGTATAACATACCTGTGGAAGTCAGATTCAAGATATGCTTTGGTTTATTCTGACAATTGATATGAAAGCACAGACATCTCTTAAATTATTCCTCTTTCCGATGGAAATAATCTCCTCTTGGTTTTTCTGAAGACCTTCAGCTCCCATATAATTCAAACACATGCTTAATTAAAGGAGAAAAACACAAAGTAGGTTTTATCTTTGCATGATTCTGTGGTAAATAGAAGAAAGGTACAAGTAGATGTTTTATAAAATTAAATCTATAAAAAAATCAAAAGTGATATCTTTTATTGGATGTTGAAGAATATTTTTAATAAAATTCAGCTTTGTTTCATAAATAATGTGGTGTTTGCCTGGGGTTGGGTGAAGCCTGCAGAAATATTTACCTAGAGAGAGGATATTACTTGCAGACCTTTGCTATTACCAGGAACAAAAAAAAGTTTACACGTTATCCAGATGGAGGACTGTGCTTGGTAATAGGATCAGTAAATTATGATAAATACCAACAAGCAAATTCTAGTTAAGGGCTATTTGTTATAATGTAGTTTCTAGTCTAACTTTGAGCACAATGTACATTAAAGGCATCCTCACAGAGTTTTGTTTTGTTTTGTTTTTCCTCCTTGTGGATGTTTGTTTCTGGTTCTGAGAGCTCAGCATGAACTTATTCTCATTTCCGATCAAAAAGAAAAAGAAGAGAAAAACAATTCTGTAGTAAGTGAATACAACTATTCAAATAGCAGCAGGATGATGAGTAGATAACAAAGCACACGAAGGTGACCTGAGGACCAGCTGGAAAGGACCAGGTGCTTGGCAGTCAGACTGGCACCTGAACATATAAGTGAGTCCTCTGTGGAAGCTCCTACGGAATTTAGACTGTCCTTTCCCATAGTTAGTGTTTTCATCTCAGATGTTCATGTCAAGGGTCCCAAAACCCAGAGAAATAAGGAAAAGATCAAGTTTTAAGAAATTACTTCTTCTGTGATAAAGGGAGGAAAATGTCCCAGATATGCTGTCTATTTCTGTTTGTCATCAAAGAAATAATGGGGAATTGCCCTCACCGTGTTCACTGGATACCCCTTTATCTATTACAGGTCGGAGAGCCTCTAGGCTCTATAAGCCAATAAAGGGTTGAAATTTATTTAATCATGCTGGCTTTGTAAATAATTCTAAAGCTTGCATTACTTTAGAGTTATATTTATAATGGCATGTGTCCATCTATGCTGTCCTGTTAAATTTGTATAGCTTCAAAAGCAAAATTTTAAAACAACTTTTGAATGCTGTAGTGGATTGAATTATATCCCCTCACTGAAGCTTGAATTGTGTCCCCCAAGTTTTATGTATTAGAAACTCAGTCTCGGGCCAGCCCGGTGGTGCACTGGAGAGTGCGCCGCTGGGGAGCACGGCGGCGCTCCCGCCGAGGGTTCGGATCCCATGTGGAGACCGGTTCCCGCTCACTGGCTGAGCGTGGTGCGGGCGCGACACCGAGAGTTGCGATCCCGTTACCGGTCAGTAAAAAAAAAGACAAAAAAAAAGAAACTCAGTCTCCACTATGACTGTTAAGAGGGTAGGAAATCCTGTTATGGTAACTGAAAGGTGGAGTTGTGAAGAAGTGATTATATTGTAGGACCCTGCAGTAGTGAATGGATCAAAAATGGTGATGGGGGGCTTGGTTCTAAGGTCTTAGAAAAAGAGAAATGAGAGTCTCTCTTCCTCTGTGCTCTCTCTGCTTCCACTGTCTTGCAATGTGAGACCCCTGGATCTCTGTCGCCACCACCAGATGGACTTTGGAATTCTCAGCCTCAGTAACTGTAAGCAATAAATTTCGTTTTCTTTATAAATCACGCAGTTTCAAATATTTTGTTATAAGCAGCAGGAACAGACCAATACAAGTGCTTTTTCTTTTTTTTCGTGTCCGGCAACGGATCGCAACCCTCAGTGTCGCGCCCGTACCGGACCGGGACCGGCAACGGAATCGCAACCCTCGGTGCTGCACCCGCGCCTCGCTCAGCCAGTGAGTGGGAACCGGTCTGTATGTGGGATCTGAACCCTCGGGCGGGAGTGCCGCCGCGCTCTCAAGCGGTGCACTATCCAGTGCGCCACCGGGCCGGCCCACAAGTGCTTTTTTTTTATTTTGACAAAAAAGGTGAGAATAAAGACTGTCACAGTCATACCCTTTCTGAAGAGAAAGTAAAGGAAGAATTCGGTGTTTCCTTTGAGTCATGGAATACCCAGGGGAAAGAGCAAACTGCCAAACTTAAAGGTGTTTGAGGCCGACCTGGTGGCACACTGGAGAGTGTGCCGCTTGGCAGCGCCGAGGCGCTCCTGCCGAGGGTTCGGATCCCATGTGGAGACCGGTTCCTGCTCACTGGCTGAGCCTGGTGCGGACGCAACACCAAGGGTTGCGATCCCGTTACCGGTCAGTAAAAAAGACAAAAAGGAAAAAAAAAAAGGTGTTTGAA